TTTTTATTTTTATTTTTTTTACTCTTTTTTTCCATTCAGGAATCAGATTTAACACTGCCAAGTTTTCCACAGGTTGCTGGTAAACAGTGGTAGTCATATGAATCCAATTAGAGTGAATAGAGACATGAAACAGAGCTGCAAACAGAGACAAACAAATGCAAGATTTACAGAAAACGATCAAGAAAGAAAACCACACACAGTTGAAATCGAGATGCTTTTTATCATTTTCCGAGAATCAACACACTACTCCATAATCCACGTGTTACCAAGCATTATTTCTGTATGAAGGGAGCATTTAATTTCTTTTTTTTTTTTTTTTTTGGACTCTTGAGTGATGCAATTCCTGCAATTCCTCATCCTCCTGGAGGAGATGTGCTTCTACAGCAAGGCATTCCTAATTTAGAACTTCTGACAGGACATGAATTCAATCCAGTTCTTCAAATATATTACATCATATTCATCATAGCATTCATACATCATTTAAAATCACCATAAGTGAAAGGACAAAGAAACATTTATTATTAATTCCAGCCTCTTTGGCTTATTTTCAGCGCAGGAATATGAGGATGTAACAGACTTCTCTGGGGTTTAGAGTACATTCTGGGAAAAATGCTCTAAAATACTGTTCCATCATCTTCAAAAGCAGGAAACACATTATACATGCTTACACCTGGCTGTATTTAGGCTGTATTTTTATTTAATCACCACACCACATGGTATAAACTGACTCTATATACACTCTTCAGCTCCTCTAACACTTCAGTCAGATTAGCTTTTCCAGAGAGTATCACCCACACAGAAGCAGCCACACTGCCTGCCACACACACACACACACACACACACACACACACACATACTGAATGCAGGCATAACTGAACACAACCATCTTCTCTCTCTCTCTCTCTCACACACACACACACACACACACACACACACACACACAAGCCAAGTGGCTCCCCTTGGCTCCCCTTTTATGCAGATTCTAGTCCTCATGTAACAGTCTGAATGATGTCCTTCTGCTCTAAACCCCTTTAAATACATAGTAGGCTACCACAGAACCATAAGCAAGGGTTATAGCTAAGGGTTCTGGGCTCACTGAAAGAATATACACTAACCAGCCACTTTATTACACCTGCTTATTCAGGCAATTATCCAATCAGCCAATCATAAAATCATGCAGATATAGGTTGAGAGTATCAGGTAATGTTCAGAATGTGGTGGGTATGAGGTAAAAATGTGATCTCGGTGATTCTGAACTTGGCATGGTTGTTGAATATTTCAGAAACTGCTCATCTCCTGGGATTTTCATGCACAACAGTCGTGAGTTTACACAGAATGCTGTGAAAAACGGGCGAACAAACAAAAAAACAGTGGGAAACACTTTGTTGATTAGAGAGGTCAGAGGAGAAATGCCAAAGCTGGTTAGAGCTGAGAGGAAGGTTATGTCAGCTCTAAAGTACCTACTAAAATAACTACTATTTACAATCGTTGTGACCAGAAAAGCATCTCAGAATGCACAAGACACCAAACCTTGAGACAGATGGGCTACAACAGCAGAAGTCCACATTGAGTTCCACTCCTGTCAGCCAAGAACTGGCATCTGAGGCTACATTGGGCACAAGCTCATGCAAACTAGACACTTTAAGCCTGGAAAAAACATTGCCTGGTCTTTTTTCAGTCATAAATTGGATATTATAAAGTGGTGAGTGGATATTAATCTGGGTCCCAAATTATCTTTAATTTAATACTATGTTTTTTATATGTTTCACTATATGGCCAAAAGTATGTGGACACCTATTCATCACATCCATATTTGTCCCTACCCCAAACTATTGCCACAAAATTGTATGCACAAGATTGTCTAGAATATCTTTGTCTGCTGTAGCTTTAAGATTTCATCATGACAGTGCCACTGTACACAAAACAAGCTCCGTAAAGACATGGTTTGCCAAGGTGGCTGTGGGCAAACTGGAGTGGCCTGCACAGAGCCCTGACCTCAACCCCGCTGAACATCCTCGGAATGAATTGGAATGCTGACTGCGCCAGAGGCCTCCTCACCGGACATCAGTGCCCATCCTCACTAACACTGTTGTTGGTGAATGGGCAAATCCCCACAGCCACATTCCAAAATCTATTAGAAAGCCTTTCCAGAAGAATGGAGATTATTATAACAGCAAGCGGGGGCTAACTCTTGAATAGGATGTTCTACAAGCAGTTATGGGTGTCATTGGTCAGGTATCCACATACTTTTGGCCAAAAAGTATATATTCAGACATCCTGCAGGAAATGTATGCATGCCCCTCCAGCTGTGGACCTTTAGAATTGTCATCACCTTTAACCACATCAGCAACAGCCCTGCCACAGGACCGGGGTTTGTGTCAAATTTAATTTTAATAGATAGAGCTACATATTTTCTTTAAAGAGAACCTTTATCACCACACTACTCTATACACCGAGACATGTTCAAGCTTCACCCTCTAACAGACAGGAGTCCAGTCGCAAGATAGGTTTCGGGCCCACCACAAGCCAGAATAAGCAGTTACATGAATGAGTTAAATGAATGAATGAATGAATGAATGATCATTTACTTTCATTTGACAGTTCATATTTGATTTGAAAGGCTCAGTATTTGCTTCTTGGTTGTTTCGAGGTGTACACTCAAAGCCTTTTAGCACAAAACTTTAAACAATGAGCTACTGAGCTAAACTATCTCCCAATGGACACGTACACATACCATTAGTTACATATGTATCTCTGGTTATATGAACCCTGGATAACCGCAAGAATTACCTTAATGTGTGCGTGATGTAATTGTGTAGGTGAGGAGCAAGCAAGTCACACACAGTGGGGGTACATGGGGGGCCATGACTAAATATCATTCTGTAACTTAATTTGCAGGTGTAAAGAGAAAAGAAAGGCTCTTGAGTTTTAGCAACACAGCATGCTGCCACTGTCAAGTGAAAGGAAAAATTGCAACGTGTTGGCTGGCGGGTCACCTGTCATATATTCTAAGAGAGAAGCCACGGGACAGTTAACATACGTTAACTGCTAAAGTAGCAGGCTCAGAAGTGGCCATTGACCATGCTGCTGACACTTAGCACTTATGAATTGGTATGGAGTGTGGAAAAAAACAGAAAAGGTGCAGAAAAATGCAGAGGGAGAACCCAACCCAATGGGGAAAATGAGGGGTGAAAGCAGAGAAACCTAAATCTAGCCTCAGTGTTGTGTGTTAGCAGATTCGGCTAAAGTAGCAATTTATTCCTCCAATTTATTCCTGCAAGTCACATGATAAGTGTTAGGTATATGATGCCAACACCAAACGTTTTCACAGAATCGTGCAGGTATGGATAGGGAAACTAGCGGACCATTAACCAATAGTAGGCAGGTGATTTTATTTTTTAAAAATGAGACTTGACATAAATGCTAGTTTTTGAAATCTGTCTCTGTTTCCACAGACAGCCTCTATTGCCTATGTAAGCACTACAGGCTACACAATATATACTACACAAGCACTGTAATAGTACTACAGGGTGTCCCAAAAGTCTCCATACGTAGGGGACTATGTAGGCCAGCACCACGTCAGTTGTGCCTTCATCAGTGGATGTTCGTGGACGTCCACTTCTTGGTTGGTGTGCAACACTTCCAGTCTTTTTGAATTTGTTAATAAGCTGGGCAACAGTGTTGTGTGTGTGATGCGCTTGCCATGTTTCCTGTTAAAGTCCATCGCAACCCTGCAACAGCTTCCCGATCCATCCATGAGAATGATTTCAATACGTTCTTCTTTTGTGATTCCTTCATTCTTAAAGGCTATCTTAAAAAATATACTAAGTATGAACATTTTGGAAGACATTTTGTTAAAAAGTGTTAATTCCCCCTATGTATGGAGACTTTTGGGACACCCTGCATTTTAAAGTAAATACTCTCAGAGAAACTAAGTGTTAATGGCAGATGATACCAGAGCCTATAAGCAGTTACTTGAGATATTTGACCTTTGAACTCTAGAGCATGGCCCTAGTGTCACATGATTGTGACATGCTGAGGAACAGGCACACCACTTTGAGTGAAAAAAACAAAACAAGCAGTGATTCATGATTATCCACTTAGAGACCAACTACAAGTTAATATGGTGGGATTTGATCTTAATTTACAGTGCTGGGCGGAAGAGAACAGGCTCTGCCTCTGGAGTTAAAACAAGTCTTTTTAGGCAGTTTTTCCTGGCCTGTGTTTGCCTTGGCTTGCGTATTTAAGCTACCTATGTCTGTAAAGCTGCTTGAGACATTCTGTATTGTAAAAACTGTTTAATCTATTCATATATTCATAAAGAATTCACAAACCTCTATATCATGGACTCTGCATCTCAGGCTAGGGAGTTTTAATGCTAGATGACATAACCTCATTACTTTACAATTCAAGCTAGTTAGGAGGTCGATATTTTATAGCCTGCTCTTTGTAAATCATTAGTTTACTCAGGGAGAGGAGCACAGTTTAATTTTACTGGATGAAGGGAGTGGTGTTTCAGTTCCAGAATACAATTTTAAAGCATGTAATTGGTAATATGGTTCATACACGCTCACCAGCCACTTTATTAAAAACATCCTACTAAAACTAAACACCCCCTACACACACACACACACACACACACACACACACACACACACTTCCCCCTCCATTGCTCTCAGAACAGCCTCGATTCTTCATGGCATGGATTCCACAAGGTGCCGGAGATTATAGTCCATGCTGACATGGCACCACATAATTGCTGCAGATTGGTCAGCTGCGCATTCATGCTGTGAATCTCCCTTGCAACTACATTCTACTTCATTGTCATGTTCATAGAACTAGTTTGAGATGACGTGCTTTGTGAGCTGGTGCATTATCATGCTGGAAGTAGTCATATTAAAAGATGGGTAGTCATATTAAAGTAGTCATATTAAAAGATACATTTTGGCCATGAAGAGATGCACATGGTCAGCAATAATACTCAGATCAAGGCTGTAGGGTCCCTGGAGGACTAGTGGTTAGGTCATGGTGCTTTCACCGCTGTGGCCCAGGTTCAATTTCCGGCCAGGGAACCTACCCCAGGCACTGGGGTCGCACACGACAGTGCACTCCCAGTGCCGATCCCAAGCCCTGCTAAAATTGGAAAGAGCATCCAGCATAAAAACTGCGCCAAATCAAATATGCGGACAAGTGATCCGCTGTAGCGACTCCTAACGTGTGCAGATGATGGAAGAAGAACAATAACTCAGATCAAGGCTTGGTATTAAGGGCCCGATATATGCCAAGAAAATATTCCTAACACCATTACACCACCTCAACCAGTCTGTTCATGATTCATGCTGTTGATGGCAAATTCAGACCTTACAGTCTTCATGCTGCAGAGAAATTGAGATTCCTCAGACCAGGCAATGTTTCAATCTTCAACTGTACACTTTCGGTGAGTCTGTGCCCACTGTAGTCTTGGCTGAAAGGGGTGGAACCCGATGTGGTCGTCGTCTGCTGCTGTAGCCCATCTACCTCAAGGTTTGAGGTGTTATGCATTCTTGCATGCTTTTCTGCTCACCGCAGTTGTAAAGAGTGGTTATTTGAGTTACCATAGTTTTCCTGTCAGCTCGAGCCAGTCTGGTCATTCTCCTCTGACCTGTCTCATCAACAAGTGTTTCTGCTGCTGCTCACTGGATGTTTTTTGTTTTTGTCAGCATTCTGTGTAAAAACTAGAGACAGTTGTACAGAAAAGATTATGAGTTTGACCTTTATCTGCATAATTTTATGCATTGTGCAGCTGAAACACTATTGGTTGATTGGATAATTACATGAATGAGCAGATGTACAGTTGTTCCTAATAATGTGGCTAGTGATTGTATATTTTATAGGGTTTTATGCAGCCGCAGGCATTTCTGTTTTTTTTTTTTTTTAACTTGAAAAGTCATCTGACAATACACTACCATTCACTATTTATTTATTTTTTAAGGAAAGGGATTAGATGTGAGGATGTTAGGATTAGATTAGAAGTGACTCAGTGTGTTGGATTAGTGCGGTTCCATGGTGGATTTCAGTTCGGTAAAAACACTTAGTGCTCACTTCTTGTACTGGTGCAGATTGAGGTCAGAACAATGCGCAAATTTATCAGCAGGATCTGTGAAAAGCAGTATGGATGTGGTTTTGATTCATGCAGTATAATGAAAAGAAACCTTCTCTGTCTTTTGGCAGATTCCCAGAAAGCACAGAGGTCTGTGTTGTACAGAGACTAAACAACAGAAATTAGGCCTAGCCCAAACTAAGATACTTTGGTGGTGCAGTAGGGAGCATTGCCGCCTCATGGGCTTCCTCTGGGTTCACCAGTTTTCTTCCACCTCCAAAAGCAGGTAGATTAGCTATGCTAAATTGTCCGTAGATGCAAAGGAGTGGTGAATGTATGTGTTCATGATGCCCTGCGATGGACTGGCATCCCATACAGGGTGTGTTCCCACCTTGCATCCAGTGTTTGCAGGATAGGATCAACAGCAACTCTGACCAGAGTAAAACAATCACTGAAGATGAATGAATAAACTTTCAGTGCAACTTCAGACATGGTAGGTAAAAGAGAGAAGTGTGTTTCACATTTAAAAATAAAAATAAAAATTGACATACTATACAGATGCGATTTATCAAGTCCCAAAATCATAGTCTTGCATGTCATGTGGTGCTTTTTTACAGCCACTTGATGAGTTCTCTCTTATTGCGCTCATAAGTGGGGCATTAGAAACAGACACGAGAGTGGATTCTCAGTGGACTCGATTAAATCAAGAGCAGCCGAAGATGAATATAGGCTGCATCTTAAATGGCATACTGTATAATATGCCTTTGGATTCTAAACGATCCTGCATGTTTCCATCTGAGTTCATCGAAACGGGCTGCACTTTCTGCAGAGACCCTTGTGTAAAAGGATTTTAGGTGAAAAAAATGCATTTAGATGAAACAAAGGGTCTGGTGCTGGTTGAATTATGTCATGTACAATGCTATTATAGGTGACAGAAGGGATTCAGTTCCATTTTTAAGAGAACAGCAGTAACAGCATAGAAAACAAAGAGCAGAAAGGTCAAGGTCATGAGAGCATGTTGCTGCTGAACTGAGAAAAGATTCGTTATAGTCATTCGCGTAAACATTACTGGTCTTGTATTACCATTCAGCAGCAGTTGCGACCTCAGCCAGAAACAGTGGAGAGGCATTTTAAAAACTGTCACCCACAGCATTGTTAGCTAGATTGGCATCCTATCTCTTCTAAAATACCTCAGAGATTTTAAGTTAATAAAAAGAAAAACAAGGCTTATGGTCAAGCCTGGAGCATTCATTAGGAGAAGGACTTGTTTTATGAGACACAATGGCAGAGTCATGGCCCAGGATAACGGGGTATTGCTCTGCATGGTGAGTCATGTCTGTCTCCAGTAAGATATTTCCAGCCTTAGCGACTCCAGTGCACTTCCCTGTGACACACACACACACACACACA